CACCCCTTAGTCCAAACAACCATACGTGGGTCGAAAAAGGTGCGTGCTGACCCCATTCGGCGCAAACAACCTCTGCGCACCACCCATCTCGAAACCTTTGTTCACGTCGCACACCTTTCAAATTCCTACGACGACCTGCTATTCGCCACTCTTCTGTCTTGCTGCTTTTACGGTTGCCATCACTCTGGGGAGCTTGTTCGCAACAATGATAAGTCACAGTGGGATTGGAGGAAAGTCATCAAACGATCCTCATTCCTACTTTCTGACGGCCACGCTCAATACCGTCTTCCCTATCACAAAGCGGGCCCTTTCTATCACGGCACAGATGTCCTCTTCAACCATCACGACATCGCAGACCCTGTCTCTCTTCTCCATCAGTATGTAACCCTGCGCGATCGCGTTCACGGCGCCCGTGCTGCCCTGTTCATACGGGAAGACGGATCTATTCCCACACGTTCATGGTGGGATAAAAAGTTCTTTGCACTTCTAGACCAATCATTTGGAGGGCATTCTGCCCGCGCTGGAGGCGCTACTTACTATGCATCTCTAGGTTTATCGGAAACCATCATCCAAGCCATTGGACGGTGGTCATCACAAGCATGGAAAATTTACATCCGCGACAATCCCACCATACGTGCCGAACAACAGCTCGCTTCCCTACGTCTACACCTCCACCATAATTAATGTTTCAATCCCCTTCTTCACCAGTCTCGCTCTCTCACTCATTCTTCTTACCTCCACCATCCCCCACACACAACATCAATACCTTATTAGCCGACAGCTCCCTCACTCAATAATAAACAAGATCCACGTAAGGTGGATCATTTATCTGCTACATCACTCTTCATCAAGAGGGTCTCTGCAGAGGTCGTCGTAAACGCGGGTTCCAGGGGTAAGGAGCGTTTTCGTAGGCCGCTGCCAAACTCGCACCCAAATTCGGCCTCGCCGAATTTGTCATCGTTCGCTCACTCATCACATTCATTGTCGTTTCAGATGACTCTCCTCCGCACCGCTCTGACTTAGCGCTATGTATTAGCGATGCTGAGTCAAGCGTTATGGTCCGTAGGGGGGGCATAAAAACCCTGGGGATGCCATCCAGACTGATCAAGCAGCACGCGAGGCAACCCAGGTAAGCACGACGTCGTGCTCTTCATCCAGAACTCAAGCTCACCTCTCTTTGGATCATAGTCTTCAGGCATCGCCTACCCCTCTGCTTATCAGAAAGACTACGATTTCAGCACGGTGAGCCTTGGCATTCTCGGCATCACCGACCCCTCTCCTTCTCAAGAAAGAATATTAACAACATTCTTTGTTAAGACCTAGCCCTTTCTCACACCATTTTTTCACGACCCTCCCTCCTCTCCCTACGTTTAATTGTCTCTTTTTATTATATACACGACGACTGCTTTCTCTATCTACGTAAATAACATTGTATTTGTATCCTTTCACCAATCTTCCGCCTTACATAGGTCCACACTCCCTCACTCAATAATAAACAAGATCCACGTAAGGTGGATCATTTATCTGCTACATCACTCTTCATCAAGAGGGTCTCTGCAGAGGCCTGTCACACTCACAATCAACACAAACAGGTCGGCAAGTTCTTTACATCCAACCTTTCCAATCCTAAACTTAGCTTCTTTGAAAAAAAGGTTAACCACGTTTGCAATGCTGGCTGGCTTTTTTCACCCCAGACTGGAGGTTTTAGACATAAAAAACCATAGTCGGACCCAATCTTTCTCTCCAAGTCGACAATTTTGCTGGCGGTAGTACTTTTTTGTGCACACTGCGCGTACATTTCAGAAGGTCTCAAGAAGGACATATCGTACCCTCTTAATCGGAGTAATTGGACTAGCGGCTTTTCTTGCTAAAGATAGGACTCAAATTGCCTGCATCACACTTCGGGACTCGTGCCGCCCAGCACATCTCCCACATATGTTAGTCATCATGTCCCATACCTAATGTAGTAACTGGATGTGACAATCACTCATGTAACATGAGCCCAGCCGGACCGGCCGGTTTTCTAAACTGTCCCTTAGTGATTGGTACAGCCGTGATCGTTACAATCACCCATCAGCTTGAGGCAGCCGTACTTCTCCCTGACGGTGACTCGTGCGGAGCATGCACATCATCGTCCGACGGCGCGGGTTGCGGCCCACCTTGGGCAAAATGCAGAGCACCTTGTAAATATACTATAAAGATTTTACATAATAATAGGGCCACAGAAGCCAGTCAAACACCATGAGGACTGTCATGGGGAGGATGCATATCATCGTCTGCCAGCTCAAATTGTGGGGCACCTTGTAAATGTACTACAATGCTTCCACATAACAATAAGGTTGCAGAAGTCAGTTAAACACCATGAATGTGACCCATTGCAGACCTACATGTACTTTTAACAATTCTTTTGGAACCCAAGCAGCCTCCATTAGCTATTGTATATATTATGGGTCCCACAAATACAGCTGAATATGATACACCAGCAGAGGACCTTCCAATAAAAACACATTACTTTTGCATGGGGGACACCTTTTTCTAATAGCTGTGTTGGTCTAGAGCAATATATATATATACTATGAAGCTCCATTAGAGCAGT